TGCAAGGGCAAACAGGCGGGTAAAAATCATAATATTGACGAAAATAAAAACCATACTGAAATGTTATTATTTACTCGGGAGGCCCTCTCCATTTGGGTCTGTACTTCTTAATTAAAAATTAATGATTTTTAATTTTTGGATCATACTTATTTAATCCTTCTCCAACTCTCTCTTTGTGTAACCCTTTTAATAATCCATTTCCAACCAAATAATTTCATGTCCCCTTCACCCAACACATTAATTAATTAAATTACAAGTTACACCCAAACATACAATTAAAGATGTCCGACATGAACCGAGTAGCCTTTTAGTCTTCGTCTCTACTTTTGTTCCTACCTCTTATTTCAATTACCCTCATCTGGGTTCCCAACGGAGTGAATTGTAAGATCTCACATCGTTTGGAGAGGGAAACGGAGCATTTCTTATAAAAATGTGAAAATCTTTTTTTAACAGACGCGTTTTAAAACCCTTGAGAGGAAGGGAAAACCTAATGAGAACAAATCTATTAGCGGTGAGATTGAGATGTTATAAATGGTATCAGAGCCAGACACGGGGCGATATGGTAGCGAGGATGATGTTGGAGAAGGTAATGAAAATTTTCTGACAAGAGTGTGAAAGCTTTTTCCTAACAGACACGTTTTAAAAATTGTGAAGTTAACAGCGATATGCAACAAATCAAAATAGATAATATCTGTTTTAGCAATGGGCTTGCACTATTACATCAAATTTCAACGTAACGTGAGACAGAGTCAAGGTCATGGATAATTTCTATCTCCAATCCCATTTAACTAACAGGGAGAAATCTCTTCTCACTCGAACAAAAGTAGATTAGTGTAGGTTGAATAAACATCTCTACCGACCCAAGGCGGAAAAAGGAAGGACCAAGAAAGAGCCGTACAGATTGAGGGATGCAAGTAGATGTGTGTCAGTGTGAAACAAGAATTAATAGGTCTGGAGTTAGGGTACTGCAACCATCTGGACTAATCCAAGTTTTAAACGCAATATTAAGTGGCCCTATCTGTCTCAGCGTGTGGGACGCCGGATAGGGATGTGAGGGATGTAAAAATGATACCCGGGAATTAAAGGGCACATGCATTATACCCATCCTTTCTAACAACAACGACCAAAAGTGCAACTTGGAGTACGGTGCCCTTACACACCACATGCCCTTTCCTCTCACCGAGGTGGAGCTCCTTCTGCCTTTCAATACCCTACCCCCTCCCACAACGCTCACCCGCGCGCACATCCACTCCCGCTCCATCCCTATCGATGTCTACACATCTATGTATAGCGATATTAATATAGCTGTCTGTATCTACGTACGTACGTAAAAGTTAATATCTTCTTTTGTTTTCTAGGTTCCGTTCGAGAATGATGGTCGTATGTCCACGTACTAGTCGTAGCTACCATTTCTTTTCTTTGGGGTCAATATCAATAGCGTCGTACATTTGAGGATCAACCTAATCCGAGGTTGGATTTTTATTTTTACCCTTTTTTTTTTTATGAAAACATAAATGGAAGAAAATATAAATAGTAGATTTATCTTATTATATAAAACAAAATTATCATCAAATATGATAAATATAAATTTGTGTGTATGTATGACTAAGTGAATGATGTAAACCGTTCGATAAAGATACTCGATATCGATTGATATAACATATATTATATTGTGAAAATTTTGTTAAATTGTAAATTTTATCCTCTAATTTTGAGAAAATTATAATTTGATCCCCATATTTTGATAAAATTTTATAATTGGACAGAATTATAACCTTCTTAAACTATAAAAACCCTTTAATTTCACAGTAACGAACACAGTAATTAATGTCAATAAAAAATTTAAAGATACAGATAAGATTTGTTTTAAAATTAGAAAAAAAAATGGTCTCGTCTTAAAAATATGTTACAATCACTGTTTAAATATACAAGGCTCGGACTAAGACTTGGATAAAGCTTATTAAAGTACCTAATTTACCCTGTGCTAACTTTTTCTCTTCAATCGAGTGTGATTGCTGCTCCACCATTGGTCGCGTCACGGTCTCAAAACGGATGTTTTTTTACTTTCTTAAGATAGTGCAGAAGGTCTTTTAAGGTCAGTTTGCATCCCCCGACTCAACATCGAAGTAGTTTTGTGTGCGGCCATTATCTCTGCCTACGAGAATTAAACTCCTTCCCCCTTCCAAACTACGAATAAGACATATGTTTTCCTTGACACTGTCTGTCTTGACGCTCTCCTCCTTTAACCCGTTTGTAAAAAGGCGAATTTTGGCTAACTAGAAAACAAACCCACCTTAGGTTGTGACAACTTTCTACTACGGATAAGTATATAAGAAATTAAAATGCTTCGTAACGAAGGTTTGTAAATCCACTTGTATGGTCAAAGCACGTGTCGAATTTGATTTGATTATAAAAAACCATATATTAAATTTATGACCTAAGAAATATGTGACGTTTTTGATGAATTATATGATGAACCAAAGTTTATATTATTAATTAAAAGAAGGAAATTGATGCATGCAATTTGTTACGTAAAATAATTAAAATAAAAATATATTTAACCAAAAAAGGCGAAACCAAAACAAAAAAAAAAAAGCAGCTAGGGGATGCCACGTAGACAGGCAAACCAAGAAAACGATGTCGTTTAGTTAAAAAAAAACTCCATTACCCCGAAAGTTTCCGTCAATTGCAATCCCACCCAAAGCCCATTTTATTTGACCTAATCAACAGGGAGACCGTTGAGCCAATAAGAATGCTCCACGTGTATGATAATTCATTAGGGAAAAAGCTTGAGAGGCATGATATGAAAAGAAGAAACAAAAAAGGAGTTGCTTTGATTTGGTGTTGGATATTTTTTTAGAATTAATTGACAAAAAAATTTAAAAAGTTTGGATTTTTTCTCTTCCTCTTCTTTTTGTTCTTGAGTTTTTGTTTTGCTTGGTTGTTAAGTACTTGGATGTTACGTTTCGTATGACGTTCGGTTCAAACCATTAAAAAAGTGAGTTCCATTACTTAATTTCTTTTTATGATTCAACGTACGGTTAAATCCATGTTGCATTAGATATAGACTATTATTTGAACTGAAGAAGAAAGGATCGAGAATGTTATTTTGTGAAATTCTACCTCAGTCGGAGAGGTAAACGAATAAGATGTGGAAACCTCTCTCGAGCATACGTATTTTTAGGAGGAAACCCAAAAAAAAAAAAAAAAAAAAAATCAAAGAGGACAATATCTACTGAGAGCTTGGTTCCTTACATATTTGTCTCATCGAGAACTTGCCTCGAACATAATTAGGAATCTTTGATCAACTGGGAAATACAGGGAGAGAGAGGAGAGAAAAACACGTGCCTCACTCCTTCATTCGGAAGGGGAGAGACGGGACTCAGTACTTTCCACTGGGTGAGAGAGGTGTAGCTACTCGCTCATTAATCACAGTGTTTAGCTGACTTGCACTAATATCCCATTTAGTGAGAGGTGCAGCAACCGGCTCGTATTTAACTAACTTGCAATAATTGACCCTTGTTGTAATGGGAATTAGACGCCCATTTGTTTATTGTTGTCAACTAATTTATTTGATGTTCAATTCTGCGCTCACTGTTGTAGCATTTTTGTGTCTACTATTCTGATTTTAAGTGGTCATATTTTTGTGTCCCGTGCTAGGAAGCATTGCTCCTCTTTTCATTTCAAATTTGAGAGTAGGACCGATACGGTAGATTGATCTATGTACCTCTCTTATTACTTTCTTATATTTCTCGGATATAATTGGATCCCAACAACCACTCGGACACTCAGAAAATTGAAGTTAAAAAGAAAACAAAATGGGGAGCGGAGAATTGAATAGGTCAAAAAGATTGTGGAAAGGGATGCTGGATGGTGTGGTAGCTTTCTAAATTTCTTTTGTTCTAGCTTTATTTTATTTATAATCTTTTTGTGCCTGCCAACAAATCTTTGAAGACTGCATACCAAATAATGATGAACATGATAATATGAATCTGAAGATGAAATTTTGCAGTAGATTCGCTTGTAATTTTCTCGGGAAACAAACGGAATTTCCCAAGATTTTCACGATCTTGCCGCAGGGCACTCGTGGGCCCCACCCCTCCCCCTCCTCTAATCAACGACTAACACCTACTCACTCGTTCATATTAATAATTAAAATCTCATGAAATTTAAATATCAAATATTTAAATATGGGTTATAAAAGTTAATTATTGTTAATGTGTATTGCATGATGAAAGTCCCACATCGACTAATTTAGAGAATGATCGTGTGTTTATAACCCAACAATATTTCTCAGGAGTTGAGTGGAGATTTATAAAGCAGAGGGATTAATTAGTCAAATCAAAAAAAAAAATTTAAAAGTGAAAATTCCATAAATTAGGGGTGATTTATGCAATTATTATTATTTGTAGGAAACAAAATATTTGACCCAAAATTAGGAGGAGTGATATTTCTTTCCTTTTTAGATTTTGTAATCATCCCCAATTTTAAAGGAAAGATGTCGAGCAGTGGCTGTCACGTCACCTTTTTTGTTTTTTTTTTTAAATGGATTTTATTTATTATATATATATTTTTTAAATTCCATCCCGATTTTTCTATGGGCAAATTATTTATGCTTTTCAAAAATATTTTATTTTTTATTTTTTGTTTTGTTGATTGTGGTCTAGGCTAATTACATATATAACCTTTTCTAACTGAAAATTGTAAAACAATATAATTTTATTTATTCATATATCATTATAACTATTTTATTATTCTTTTTATAAAAAAAACATTATCCATTAACTTGTATTGCCCAACTCGGCCCATGGGCTTATTTTGGGTGGTAATAGTGAATCGGAAAGCCCAAAAGTATAATGGGCCGCCGTGTAATTTACTGGGCTTTGTAAGCTTGGGAAAGGTGGAGTCTGTATAGCCCATTAACTTGTATAGCCCAACTGGGCCCATGGGCTTATTGGAGGCACTTGAAAGAGACGACTTTGAAGCTCAGATTGAAGCTGAGTTTGTCGATGGAAGCTTTCCATCGGAAAAAGAAGAAGAAGAGGAAATTCGAGAATGAAATTGAAGGGGAGAGGAGGAGATCGATTTCAAAACCTAGAGTGATCATTGCGGTATCCGGTTCCATCATCGACAACGCGATCCCTCGAGATTGCCACTAGAGTATGCATTTTCTCCCTTATAGGCGAGTGTTTTTCGAGTTTCTCCCCCTTTCCCCTGTCCCTTGGAAGATTGTAATTTGTTATGTTTTCTCTTTGAATGATTTGATATCTTTGGTTCGAAGCTTGTGTTGATTTTTCTGCTCTCTTGATTCACTTTCACCACGTTCAAACGAAGTGATGTGATTGACATTGGAATAACTTTTCTTTCTCCTAATGTTGTATGAACTTCTTCATAGTTGGCTGGTCAAATTGCTCGTGCGGCAACCATATTCCGAATTGACGAGGTCTCCATCTTTCTCATTTCGTTACTTGAAATTTTCTAGGACAGTCATTGGCTTCATTGGAATTGTTTAACTCAGGAAGATAATTTTTGCACGTATCAGGTAGTGGTATTCGACAGTGGAAGGAGTTCGGTGACTGCTCGGATGTTGCGGCAGCGGACAATTCTGATGAGGATGAAAGTGGCGCTGCTTTTCTTATAAGGATCTTGAAGTATCTTGAGACTCCACAATACTTGAGAAAAGCTCTTTTTCCAAAGCACAACAATCTAAGATTTGTGGTCCGACCTTAAATTGATTGGTTGCTTTAATCAACAAGAAGTAACATTTCCTGTTTTTCCTCTGATCTTCTTTTCATCGTAAATTTGTTGTAGGGGATGCTGCCACCGCTGGATGCTCTTCACCATTTGCGCAAGCATGAATGGAGTCCATATCGAGAAGGTAAATGTTAGAAGTTTCTACTAAATTCTGTCATCCAATGAGGCTGAATTCTCATATAATCTGCACATGAATCAGATGCTTGTGTTTAAAGAAGACTGGGAACATGTTAGTTCTAACTTTGAATCAATTCAGTTCAGCGTCCAGTTCAAGAACATCACTTTTTTTGGCCCTTTTTCTTCCAAACAGTTTTAGCCATATCCGCTTTCGTGATTTCTCTTTGTGACAGCATTATTAGGAAATTATTGTTTGCAAAAACTGTGCTGAGGAATGAAGAAGCCAAATTCTAGTGTCTGCTTGATTTCTTGGTTTCCTGCCAGCAGTCATTTCCAGCTACCATAAGCTTTGTCCATCTCTTTCTCCTACAAATTTTTCTTCTTGGTATAGCATCAAGAAAGGCTCCCAGTGCCCAAGCTTAATTTTTTTGGTCCGCAGTGTTGTATGATGCTCTAGTTGACTATATCCGTAAGCTTCTTTTCCCCCTATGCTTCCTTCCTTTTTCTCAATGCCTAAGCTTCTTTTTTTTTTTTTTTTTTTTTCCTTT